CGCCAGGCAGCCGCACGGGGGGCTCCCCGCGCAGCGGCTCGGTCCGCACCACACGGCTCATGGCCGGAGAAAGCGGGGCTGTGGGCCAACGTCCGGGCCCTTCGGATTCCCACACTCGCCGGAGCCTCCACTAAGTGGCACCTCCAAGTCTCAGTTCTTGCCGCCCCCTCGCTCTTGAAGTGGTATCGCCTCAGCCCCCTTCCGAGGATGGTATCGCCCAACCTTTTCTTCCACGTGAAGCAGCGCGTCTTTCAGTGTCTTCGGGGGCCCCCGCCTTGCCACTCTCTCGTGGTAGGTCCACACTCGTCCCCTCCCAAGGAGGTCCTTTTTAGTTCCTTCTCTATAACCTACGCCGCTCTCTGCCTTGGACCCAGTTTTACGCCTCGAAGGTTCTGAGGGAAGAATGGAAATCGGAAAAACGCGAAGGATTTTGTCCGCTGCGAGCTCCCTTAAGCCCAAGTATGGCGGCCGATATGGCACCGCCCGCGGCATTCTAACGCGGCCGCGTTCTCCGGCGCGCGCGGACCCGGACCCCGGCCCGAACACCGTCCTCGGCCTGGTATCCCTGCCAACTTCCCTGGGCTGCAGCATTACAGAGCGCCATTAGCTTCTAACGGGACGGCAGCCAGCAGCCCTGTTCTCTGGGCGGGGCGCTGCCACATCAGCCAGCTAGGACGTGTGCACAGGAGTTGCTGGAAATGTTGGTTGCAGCCGATACTTTTAAAAAAAGAAAGCTTCCTAGCGATATAGAAAATTTGGCACCTGTGAAATTATGTGGCGGGCCATCGGTGGAATTAATATGAAGTAGACTAAGTGCCTACTCCGCCTAACTTATCAGCATCACCCCATCCCCATCCAGCGTCCCCTCCGCGGTCAGTCTGTTGGCTCGTAGCCTTCGGCGTGTATGCAAGTCGCAGAGAATGCCCTCTGGCTTCATCCTTGCAAGGGTCTAAAAAAGGCAAAGTGACGTCCCCAAGGCCCCCAACTCCTATGCCATTGCTCACCTCTGGGTGGGGTTTGAAGTAGTAGAGATAATTAAAGGGGAAAGCCTTCAATATCGTCTCCACACCTACAGCCAAGGAAGCTAGATGGCAGGCAGAGGGCTCATCTGTTGGGGTAGGGCTTTCATCTACTGCTCACACCTTTCTCCCCACAGCTATGCCATGCTGTACCATCAGGATTCTGCCTACAAGCTTAGGGGTGAGACACACACACACACACACACACACACACCATTAAAGCTGTGGGGTAGAGAGAGCTCAGGCTTCAGAGCGCTCTCCATGACCCCTGCCCTTCCTGGGGGCTCAAAAACAAGGGTCAAAGGTCCTCTGGGTCATGCTTGGGGTGGCCTGGTGCACTAGTCATCTCTTCTTCCTTTTCCTTCTCCTCCTCTTGATCTTGCTCCTCCTCCCCTTCTGTCTTCTCTTGCCCTTCTGTGATCTCCTTTCCAGTCCAAGTTTCCTGTAGACATGCTAAGTTGGGTGATAGAAAACAAGTGAGATGTTGGTCCTGGGCGTAGGGGATGTTGTGGCCTGGCAGGGAAGGGACCAGCCCACACACTTACCAGTTTCAGAAGCTGGGAGCACATGACCTTCACAGAGAAAATGCTGCAGGGGCTGCTCCTGATGGTGGAAGTACCAGTCTTCCACGACTTCTTCAAACTCCTCCAGCATTTTCTCACACTGGTCAAGTGGAAGGGCCAGAAGAGTATCTGCTCTGCTGGGCTTTGGGAACCTTCCTCTTTGCTCTTTACTACCTGTCTCCCCACCCCACCTTGGAGAGGCAGATAGCCAGGAGTTTAAACGTGGCTTACTAGCTGTGTGATCCCCATCCATTCAACAAACATTCACTAACACCTCCTCTACTGAGTGGGTTATTAAACTCTTAAGTTTCAGCTCCTTGTCTGTAAGATGGGAAATGGTAATCAGGTGGTTGTGAGGGCAAAATGAGGCAGCAGCTGAAACGTATGTGGCTCCAAATTTGCACATGGTTGGTACTCAGTAAGTGGTAATGCATATTATTAGTCTCCATTATTACTTCTTGATATGCTCCGGGTGCATGTCAATCAATGGCAGTCCTCACTCTGCCCCCTTCTCCCCTGCTCAGAGGTAGACCTCCCTAGGATCTAGTTCCCCTTTCAGGTTCCCTTCTCACCTCCCTGGGCTGTATCCTAACCTACCTGCTTCTTGAGGAATGTGACCTCCACACTGGGCTCGTCCCACAGCTCCAGAGGGATCCCCAGATCCACCTTTACCCCCTTCTGCACCAGGCCTTTCAGCGTTGCCATGGTCTGACTCTGCCCCTGAGAGATGGGAATTTGGAATCAGCCCAGCCCACTACCTCAACTTCTTCCTTTCCCTTCCCACCATATCAGTTTTGTCAAGCACCAGAGTCTGAAGGGTAAGTTCCATGAGGGTGAGATGAGGGAGTCTAAAGATGAGGAGGGGACACTGAAAGGCTAGAGAAGGGAGGCTCCAGAGGACATAGGCCTAAGCAGTGGGATCCTGCCCTGGGGAGGAGTCTGACCTTGGCATATCTCAGTGAGCCCTTGCGCTCAGCATGAACACTGTAATCCAGAACTTGCTCACATAAATTCTCCAAGGCCTCTTCTAGCCTTGTCTCTCTGTGGGAAGAGGGGAAACAAAGACTCCTTGAATACTGTATGAGCTCCCAGAGCTCTTTCGGGGGTTGAAAGGTGGAGGAACATCTAGGACTCACGAAACGCTGTAAGGGATGTGTCTTTTCCTCTTGCCCGTGTCCAGCACCTGCCCCAGCTCCAGCACCTCTCGAGATCGTCCAGTGCGACTCAGCTGTTCCTGTAGCTCCAGACTCAGCAGCTTACACACTAGATGTCCAAAGGGACATGAGAGATAAACAAACATGCCAGCAACTCATTCTGCAGATGAGCAAAAGCAGCAGAGCATGATGGTTTCAAATGCAGACTCTGGAGCCAGCCTGGTTTACAATCCTGACTCAGCCACTTAGTAAGCTGTGTAGCAATCTGCTGTGCCTTGGTTTCTTCACCTCTAAAATGGAGATAATAATAGTACCTCCTCATAGGGGTGTGGTGAGGATTGAATCAATCCATGTAAAGCCTTTACAATAGTGCCAGCACAAGGTGAGCAGTGTTTAAGTCTTTGCTGTTGTTAGGCAGTCATTCATTGGGCTCCTTCTGGATGCACAATAGCAATAGAGAGCAATTAAGACCCACCATCCCTATCCATGACACACTGCCAATGCAGTTGGGGATAGAAAAAAAGATGGCAATATGGTGTGATGGTTCCTACACTAGGGATTAAGACCCTAGCTGGCTTGGCTCAGTGGATAGAGCATCAGCCCTCGGACTGAAGGGTCCCAGGTTCGATTCTGGTCAAGGGAACATGCCCAGGTTGTGGGCTCAATCCCCATTAGGGGGTGTGCAGGAGGCAGCTGATCAATGATTCTCTCTCATCACTGATGTTTCTCCCTTTCCCTCTCTGAAATCAATAAAAATATATTTTAAAAAAAAAAAAAAGACCAAGAGACTTAATCTCATTAGGAAATGCAAAATTCATTCAATGGTTACATATTGACTTCCTGCTAGCCTGGGATTTCCTTAAGGGTGAGCACTGCATCTGTTCCACCACTGTCTTTCCAGCACCTAGCATGTGACCTGGCACATTATGGGTCCCAAGAAAGGGAGTGGCCTATACAGAAGTGCCAAGTGAACTAAACACAGGAGCAAGTAACAAAGGTGCCTAAAATATGCCAGGTACTACTCTAAGATCTGGGAGACACAGGTACTCTCTTTCCCTCCAAGGGTACAATACAGTGAGAGGAGACAGATACGAAAAGAAGGCTTCCAAAGGAGGTGACATTTAAATTGGATCTTGGAGAACAACATGCAGAAGTGAGAGGGTTATTCCAGGCAAAGGGAGAAGCAGAGGTGGGAAAAGATAAGGCAGGCTCACTAGCTGCTGAGTACAGTGTGGCTTCAGCATGGGCATTTTGGGGGTGGGAGTTTGTGGAAAAGAAAGAAAGGGGGGGCATAAAACAAAGAAATGTATGTTCTGCCCTAACAACAATCTTGGCTGTACTCTAATCACTGCAGGAAGCCTGCCCAGGTGTTAAAGCAAGGACTGACAAGATTGGGTCTGTGTTTAGAAATTCTGACAGAGGAGTAGGGGCACAAGTGAAAGGGGAGTAGAGATTAGGTTCCAAGTCTTGAGGAACAGCGATACTGAAATGCAGGTTAAAAGAGAAAGAATCCAGGAAAGAAATTAGAGTCAGGAAGGCAACAAACTAGGGAACCAGAGCACGCAATGGCCCAGTTCTGAAATGCCTTCTCCCTATTATTGCTCTCTATTGCTATTGTGCATCCAGAAGGAGCCCAATAAATAACTGCCTAACACCAGCTGGGACCCACAAATAGTGCAACCACAGAAGATACTGCTTGCTGTAAAATCCATACAGCACACACACACCCTTTGGAAAGCCTCACACCTATGGGGAACCTCTCCCAGTTGTGTGGCCTCCTCTTTCATTTATGAGCGTCAAGGGCTGATTTACTCATCCCCAAGCCCCTTCAGGAGAACGCGGGACCTGTAATTTGGGAGTGTCTCTGCCGAGGTGGAGCAGAGGATATCCACAAGGTGAGCCTAACATCCCGCTCCTGCAGGATCTCCAGATTGAGGTCTAGTGGCTTGGGAAAAACACACACAAGATGCTCAGTAGCGTGGTGGTCCTGGGCGGATAGTCTCTGAACTACAATTCCCACAAACCATTGGGGCCCAAACCAGCCAGAAAAAGCGGGCTCTCTCTGGATGTCTCATGGGAATTGTAGTGCCATAGATTTTGGAAACCACTATAGGTTCCCTCCCTTGATCCCATTCGACTTCCGCGAAACTCCACCAAAACCTCCCTCAGGTCTTTAAGGAGGTTGAGTGACCCACCCATCACGGTCCATTTGGTCCGGCCCAAACAAAGGAGGTGGGGCAGAGGGATGCCAAAAGGGGCTATTCCTTTCAGATACCTTCGCATTTGCTGGGCAAGCGTTCTGTGTCATCATCGTCCTCTTCCTTCGGCGCCCCAGCCCAAGCTGGGACGCATGCAGTCAAAATGAAAAGCAATATTCCCAACGGCACAGGTCCCATGACAAAGTGCTGCCCACAACTTAACACCCCTTGCCTTCTAACCAACTTCGGGAAGGCAGCTGGCCCTTTTAATTCCGAGGCAACTTTAAGAGTCGAGCCTAGCACGGAGGCGCACGCGCAGTGCCGACCCGAAAGGGGGCGGGGCCACGTCGCTCCGGCCTTCCCCGCCTGGGATTTGTGGCGCCTCCGGAAGGTCCTGGCCGCCGAGTAGTGAGACGATCCACAGAAGTCATCACCACAGAAGTGTTTGCTCCTGCCATGTAGCTGTAGACACAGAGTTTTTACATAATTTCAGGCCGTGAGTCTAGAGAACTTATTCCTGGTCAGAGAAGGGGTAGGGACTGGCTCCTTTTCTCTGCCAGGACCGGCTCCTGGGAGGGGGCGGGGCCAACATGGCGCCGAGCGCCGGCTGAGCGGCGCTTTGGCGGCGGTGAGAGCTCTTCGTTCCTGGGACGCTCGGCTGGCGGGAGGGGGTCGAGGGGACCCCGGCCTCGACCCCTTGTCGGGCCTGTGCGGGGACCAGGAAGAGGACGGTTGGTTGCGTGTCCGTACGCGTGGGGACTCTGTGTGTCTGCATTGGAGGGAGGATGGGGGATGAGGTGGGCTCCCGGCTCCTTCGAGCTGGACCCCGGGCCTGGGGTCCCCGGGCCCGTTTTCCTGTTGGCTCTCGCTCAGGTTAGTCCTCAGTGAAGGCTTTCCGCCGACTCCACCGCCCTGAGGGGCTGTCGGGCGCTGTGAGCTCCTCCTGGCAGAGACCGCAGGGTACTGAAGGATTCGTAGTTCGCCAGGACGCTGGGGCACGACCGCCTCCTGTACCCCGGCTCCAGGCGCAGAGTATGTGTGAATAAGTGTGTTCCCGGCAAATGAGACCAGAGTGGAGGAGGAGAGCTGGATGTGTAGGGAAGAACCAAATTCTCTTTGGTCTCCATCTTCTCACGCCCTCGGCGCGTCCGCACCAGCCCCACCGACGTCCCGCAGTCGCAGTCGGTCCTCAACACTTTTGCATCCGTTTTCCCAATACCAGCCTTAAGCGAGCCCCCTTCCTGCTGGCCAGGCAGTAGATTCCAAGCTTGGGTCTGTACTTGTTCCTCTGGATAACACCGGTACCGAGTATGTATTGAGCGCTTAGATCTCTAATCCTCACAGTTCGTTCATTTACTCAGCAGATATGTATTGAATATTTACAGTGTCTCGGGCAACAGTCTGCTGACTTGGAACACATCAGTGAACACAATAGACAGAGATCTCTGTCCATACGGCGCGGGAGGAGGAGGTGTGGTGATCATCGATAAGAAATGATACAATATGGATTGGATGTTAGATGCCCTGGGGAGGAAGAGGGTGGGTGGAGTGTGGTGTTAAAGAGGGTGGTGGAAGTAGGCAGTCAGGCTGTCATCTGGGGAAGAGCATTCCAGGCAGAAGGAATAGCAAAGGCCATAAAGCAAGAGCATGCCTCTCAGGTTTGAACAGCAAGGAGGGCAGTGGAGCTGGAAGAAGGAAGGAAAGGAGGTCAGAGATGTCATGCAGAGAGGGCCTTGTGGACCATAAGAATTTTGGGTTTTACTGGATGGTAAATGGGGAGCCATTACGGAGTTTGAACAATGACCCAATCTGATTTATAATTTGACAGAATCACTCTGGCAGCTGTGTTGGGAGTAGAAGTCAAGAGCAAGGTGAAAGCCGGAAGAGCTTCTCCGGGGGCTATTGAAGTTACCCAGGTGATAGATGATGGGCACCTGCAGTGGGAATGGAGGAATCTGGTTGGATCACCTAGTGCAGTGGTCGGCAAACTGCGGCTCACGAGCCACATGCGGCTCTTTGGCCCCTTGAGTGTGGCTCTTCCTAAGCCTTAGGAGTACCCTAATTAAGTTAGCAGTGTACCTGCGGCTCTTTGGCCCCTTGAGTGTGGCTCTTCCTAAGCCTTAGGAGTACCCTAATTAAGTTAGTAACAGTGTACCTACCTATATAGTTTAAAAAATGTGGCTCTCAAAAGAAATTTCAATCGTCGTACTGTTGATATTTGGCTCTGTTGACTAATGAGTTTGCCGACCACTGGTCTAGGACATTCTAACATTAAGCAGGTGAGGAAGAAGAACCAGAAAAGGAAACTGAGGGGTAATGGCCAGTGAGGTAGGAGGAAAACCAGAAGTTGGTGCCACAGCGGAGTAAAAAAACAGTTTTCAGAAAGTAGTAGTCAGCTATGCTATGTACTGCTTTTGAGGTGAAAGAAGATGAGGGAGGACAGAGTGGGCCTTGGATTTGGCAATGTGAAGTCATCCATGACCTTGAGAGTTTCAGGGACCTAGAGGGACAAAAGCCTGATTGGAGTAGGTTCAAGAGAGGAGAGGAGAATTAGAAACAAAGTTAAGACAACTTTTTGAGGGAGTTTTATTGCAAGGAGGAGAAAAAATGGGGTATATCATATAGAGAAAGTGAAATAAAAGATTTGTCTTAATGTTTAATTTGGTAAAATACACACAAAGCCCGCCATCTTAACCATTTTTAAGTGTAGTTCAGTGGCATTAAATACATTCACATTGTTGTGTAACCATCACGACAATCCGTTTCCAGAACTCTTCACATTGTAAAACTGAAATTCTGTCCCTATTAAACAATAACTTCCCATTCCCCCTCCTCCGGCCCCTAGCAACCACCGTTCCACTTTCTGACTCTGAGTTTGACTACTTAAGACCCTCACACAGGTGGAATCATACCATATTTGTCCTTTTGTGACTGGCTTATTTCAATCAGCATAATGTCCTCAGGGTTCATTCCTGTTGTAGCATGTGTCAGAATTTCCTTCCTTTTTAAGGCTGTTTTAAGCTAGGAAAAATAACTGCATTTTGTAGGCTGATGGAAATGATCTGGTAGGTTGAGAAATTGATGCCAGAGGGAGATGGGAGAAACACTGGAACAATGTTGGAGGTGGTGTCGGGCATGAAGTTTCTCTGTAGTAACTGGTGGGAAGGCAGGTATGTGGATGCCAGTGCTACGCGGTGGGTAGACATGATGAAAGGCTGGAGGTCCCTTCTGATGGCCAAAAGTGGGGAAGGAGAAAGGCTGTCACACAGGACAGCGGGAGACTGGGTGCATTGAGTTACAGTATGCTTGTCTGCAGGATTAAGGGCCCATTTGAAGTTTGTGGCCATGAATTTAAAGTGGTAATTAGCCATGATGGTTGTGTATTTTTCTCATCATATTGAATTGTACAAGAATATAGGGCCAGGGTGTGAGAAGTTGTATTTAACCAGTACTGTATTTGTCTCAAGTAATAATGCAAGAAGGGACAAGAGAGATGAAAGTATGCATAAAACAACCTTAGGAAAAAAGTGTCTTCCATATTTTATGGAAATATGGAAACCCAAAGCAGGGACAGTTGAAGTAACCTGCCGTAGTAACACAGCACAGTAATGCTAGGGCTGGTATTTAAATTGAGGGTCAAGATCATCCCTACTATACCTCACTTGTATAGTGCCTGGCATAGAATCAGAGCTCAATAAATTACGTTGAACTGGATCAAGTTGCTACCTCCTTCTGTTACACCCAGTGCTGACTCATGTGGGGATGGACAGAAGGGACCACGAGTTCTTCCCTCCTCACATCCTCATTGTCCTCCATTTGTTGTGGCCTCTCCTGAGCAGACAGCCCCTCTGCTTTGGGTCTCACATTTCTTTTTATCTCTTCTGCCCACCCCATCCCCCCACAGGATCTCCCATCTCTCCACCCCGGGGCATCATCCTTCAGAGGAGGGAGGAAGCACTCCAGAATGGCTGAGGAGAAGAAGCTGAAGCTCAGCAATACTGTGCTGCCTTCGGAGTCAATGAAGGTGGTGGCCGAATCGATGGGCATCGCCCAGATTCAGGAGGAAACCTGTCAGCTGCTGACAGATGAAGTCAGTTACCGCATCAAGGAGATTGCACAGGTAATCTGGCCCCTCCACCCAGTCCTGCATTGTATTGAGGAGGATGCCCAGGCCCCTTCTTCCTCGGGGTCTCAGGCTGACATTTGTTCTTCCACCCAGGATGCCTTAAAGTTCATGCACATGGGGAAGCGGCAGAAGCTCACCACCAGTGACATTGACTATGCACTGAAGCTAAAGAACGTTGAGGTGATTGGGACACACAGGACTGAGATGGGCAGGGGGGTAAGAACAGGCCTCCCATGGGCCCCCTTCTCATCCTGCTGTCTTTCTCTCTCTCTCTCCTGAGATAGCCACTGTATGGCTTCCATGCTCAAGAGTTCATTCCTTTCCGGTTCGCCTCTGGTGGGGGCCGGGAACTCTACTTCTATGAAGAGAAGGAGGTTGACCTGAGTGACATCATCAATACCCCTCTGCCCCGGGTGCCCCTGGACGTCTGCCTCAAAGGTTGGGGGAAAGGAGAGTGGGGGGCAGGGGAAGGAAAGGAGGGGCAATGCTTATGGGTTTAAGGAGTCTCACAAGGATGAAACCCTCAGTGTGAGATCCCTGGTGAGTGGCAGGAAGTGGGAACAGGAATGAAAACACACGTTTCTTAGTGTGGAGTGACTCCCTAGTATTCATGTGCAGCAGTTCAACTTGATACCTTCCTTCCTCACAGCTCATTGGTTGAGCATTGAAGGCTGCCAGCCAGCTATCCCAGAGAATCCACCTCCAGGTAACCTCCCTGCCCAGAGCCCATCCCTCTGTCTCT